CCTTTTTAACGAATTATAATTACCTGCCTTTCTCTGAATAATGCAGTGCAGTGTAGTTCCACTTACCGGATTGAGTGTGAATACAAAGGCCGCGCTTTAGGTTCGTAAGAACTCGGTACACGCGAACTAAGAAAAGAATGTCAACTGTTACAGATAATTGCTATAATTATTTTCTTAAAAAAATACAGGAATTCGTTACAAGTGTACACCAAGAAATATCTATGGTTTATTTCTAACGGAATACATTCAATAACTCAGTAAACTTTTTTTTTATTTACGCTACTTATATTCGGGTTATTTTTTAAAAGAATTTCACCCCATGCAAAAAGTGGGAGTGTCACTAGTAAAGGGGATACAGAGTGAAAGTAAGGAAAAAGACTGGGTATAGGGAGGGATTGAGGAACGGATAAAAAAAGAACGCAGAAGGATAAAATAAAGAACAAGGATCATGGCATTAGAATATGTCGATTGACATTACATTTAAATATTTGAAGATTATAGTTATCAGGAAAGCAAGTAAGAGGAATGGAGTTCCACTGTCGGGATGTGCGCGAGAAGAAGCTGTTAGAGTAGAAGAGGCGGTTACATTTAACTGTGGGACCGAGATGCCAACCTAGTAGCACGCTTAAATTCATGCAGTCGGGGCACCGGGGAAAATAGCTCGTCAGAGCAGATGCCGTGAAAATATTTACAGAAAAGACAGAGAGAAGCCACATTACGTCGGTGAGAATGTAACTGGAGTCTAGACCCCCAAGTCAGGACCGATCACACTGCAGATCCGTCTATGGATTTTGTCGAGGACCTCAAGATTAACAGCGGGGGCACCACAATATATATTACAACAGTATTCCATGCATGGACGAATGGCAGATTTGCGTTGTCCTCATCTTTTTCGCTATTATCAGAGCGTTCTGGCCGTTATGCCCTCCGGCCTTCCTTATGTATCGATATCGATCAGAGTAACCTACAGGGAAATTCCGAATTGAACTCTTAATCTACGGAGCAAGACTGTTCTCATTCCACTGCTCATGTCTCGTGATATCTCGTCTAGTTCTTATTTTTATTTAGTGCTTTTCCGTTATTTCCCGTCTGTTTCCAATGAGTGCAAGTACACAGTGCCCAACCACTATTTCACCAAATTCAAAAGCCAATGTTTTTACTCACTAGGCCATTGTTCAATAGACTTATCGCATTAACTGACTTAAGAAAGAGAACAATAAAAGAACTGGAATAACATAAGATAACGATTGACTTATTAAAATTTTTGAAGATCAAAGACGACTCGAAAACTAGAAACCGGAAGATATTTCCACAAGCGAGAAGTGCGATAGGAAAAACTCTTAGTATAGAACTTACGCTTACATCTAGCCATTTCAACTGTAAGATGATGAGATCAAGCTACTAATATGGTACTGCGCTTAAATTCGTAGACATGTCATCCCATCAGATTTTTCATATGTCCTACGATTTTTTTCACAACTTAGATTATCCATGGAAAAATTTCTAATTAAAAAAAAATCCTGCAATATCAGTCGTTATTGTCTGTCTTCTTAATAATTCCTGTTATTTTACTATACTTTCTCCTTAATAAATGTTTTTCTTTTATAATTCTGTTTCAATTGAATTCACCCCAAGTAAGGCAATAAAGCCGCTAAGACACACGGGGGTTACTGGATGTGAGAGAATTAGAAAACAGAAGCATTATTGAGGAGCAAAAACAATAGAAGAGTAATCAGGATGATAGCAGATAACGATGGACAGTGCATTTAAATTTTGAAGATCAAACATCACTGAAAACATCAAGAAGCCGGAAGAGAGTTCCACAAGCGAGAAGTGCGAGAAATTTTTAGCTTAGAACTTACGGTTACACCTAGCCAATTCAACTGTAAATCGATGGGACCTTGTTGCTAATCTAGTACTGCGCTTAAATTTATAAATTCTAGGTACCATATTGAAGAGCTCATCAGAGCAATTACCATGAAAGTATTTATAGAAAAGGCAAAGGGGATCTACATTACGGCGGTGGGAAAGTGACTGCACCCGAGACGCCAGGTCAGGACCAATAATATTGCTGATTTTTCTTTGGATTTTATCAAGGATTTCTAAATATACAGCAAGAGCACTGAACCATATGTGGCAACAATATTCTAAGCATGAACGAATAGTACACTTATAGATATGTATGTTTTTGGAGAGAAAAAATGTCTTGCACAACACAGTGTACCAATACTCTTAGCAGCAGACCTAGCAATGGACTCAATATAGTCTTACCAAATCATGTTAGCCGAGAATGTTAACTAGAGAAGGCTCACCGAGTCAGTCTCCTAGAGGTTAGGATCAGTCATGCTGATGGAAGACACCTAGGGGTTTTTCAAATAGATAATAGAGAGCAGTTTTGTCTTGGAGGCGTTAAGCCAACCTTTTCCCCAGTTAACAATAAGCTGTTGGTCTTCTTTTCTTTCTTTTTTTTTTTAGATGAGCCGCCATTTTAATCTTATCGATCTGATCAGACTTACAATCGAGACAGATGTAAAAATGGTTGTGTCATCAGCATTTCTCCTCGTATTCTTTCACGCTCAGTAACTGATTTTATTGTATTGCATGGGTTGAAACTGATAATAAAATACTTAGGTGAATTTTTGGACACACTGTATTCAGCAAGTAACTTTCATGGTTACTTATGTAACGTCAGAATGTTTCTGTCAATTTTTGTTTTCAGTCTTGATATATTTTATGAATTAGAACACTTTTATTTGCTTCCTGAAAATAAAATTAATCCTATTTTGTATAATTAAACTTTCGAAACTTTTTTTTAATATTAGCCTTTTTATTTCGATTTTTCAAAATAAAACCTATTTTCATCTTTATTTATCTTATAAAAAAGAAAAAACACTCAGACAAATCCTAATAAAGAAATAAAAAAAGCTAAATGATATATCTATAATATTTTAAATGGGGCACTTGGAAGTTTTATGGTCCTTAAAAGGTTGTAAAACACTACAAATGAGACGTTAGATAAAAAGCCACATTTTCTCGTCGAATAAAGCGGTACTTATCTACAGTCTCTGCGAGGAGAGAGTCCAGCATTTACTGCCATATAGGAGATTAGATATGACATAGCAGTTCAGAAATCTTTTCTTTCTTTCTAATGACAGTTTCCTATCTCTTAATACTTTGCTCTGTTTCTGAAAGGCATGAGGAGATTGTTCAGCATTCACTGCAATATAGGAGATTTGGTATTGAATAGTTCAGTATTTGTGTCTTTGTTTCTAATGACATTTTCTTTTCTCTTACTTTTCTAGGTTCATATAATTCAAATGTCCAAATAGAAATGCGCTTAAACTGCTTCACATAGCTTTTCCCCCCGAAAGGATATTAAAAAGAAGTAACAGAATATTACATCCAGCAAAGTTTCAGATGGGGGGAAAAGGGGTACCTGTGGAATTTTACAATTTTTTAATTATTTTTGTTGTAGCATACCTACGGACGATAATGGGTATGTCCCCATTCACATAAATACAATAGTAAATACTGTATGTTGGTCTGCAATTGGAGATTCATGGGTGGGATCCGCTAGAGATAGCCTTAGCTAGGGAAGCCGTGGAGCGTTCGAATAGCGAGCGCTACATGGGCCAGGTAATTAGACATAGGTTAAGCAAAATGTCTTCCGAAGCTGTGAACATGGGCGCAGACTTGCGCAAGGAAGAGATCCGTCGAGGTGGCGATCGTTACATTCGTGAAGTCGAAATCCCGAAGGGGCATACTCTTCGGGCCACTGACAACATGTGCGAGGCGTTTCGCCGCATTTCGGGAGCCGCTTTACCAAGGTGCTTGGTCTTCGTGAGAACGAGTTTCGCAGCTATTCAGCCGACTTTCCTCGGCTTTCGCCGACTGAAGCGGCTAGCTGCGAGGGAGATATCACGAAAGGCGAGGTCTACACGGCATTGAAGAAGGTCGGCAGAGGCAAGTCGCCCGGTCTGGAGGGTTTGCCCTATGAATTGTACTTGAGGCTGTCGCACATCTTTGTCCCGATTGTTCCGGCAAGGGTCCCTCCCCGACCGGTTGAAAAAGGGCAAGAGTGTTGGGTGGCACATTACAGGCCCATAACTCTGCTAAACACAGAGTTAAAGATTTAGGCCAAGATCCTGCAGGAGCGTTCGCAGTCAGTTGCCGAGAATCTGTTGGGCCCGGAGCAGACTTGTTCTGTGAGGGGCCGAACAATTCAGAACAACCTGCATCTTATCCGCACGATCATAGAGGGTGTAAAAGACGACGATGAGGTCGCGCTGATCAATTTGGATCATTCCAAGGCATTTGATAGGGTTGACCATCGCTACCTTAGTACTGTCCTACAGGCCACCGGATTCGCACCCGAATAGCCTCCTGTATCGCTCCCCAGTGCTGTGGTACAGGTGATCGGGGAAGATGTCGGGCGCTTTTGCGCTGAGTTCGTCAGGGGTTTCCACCGTCGCCCCTACTTTATGTTTTGGCGTTGGAGCCTCTCCTTCGCCGGCTGAGGTACAAGGCGTGCAGTCCGGCCCTACGCGGAATCGCTGTTCCTGAAGTGTCTCGAGCCAGGTTTTCTGCGTACGCCGATGACGTATCTGCTTTCGTGTCGTCCCACAGCGACATTGAGGCGATAGTGAAGGCGCTTGATCGGTACGAAAAGGTGACAGGGGCCAAGATTAACCGCGACAAGTTGTCGGGCTTGCGGTTAGGTGCCTGGAAGGGGGTCGATATTAACAATATATCAGTACATTTTGGTTTGGTTAGGTTTATTTTGTAGGTTGGGCTTACATGTGTGCCTGAAAACGCAAAACATTATATTTCGGCTTTCTCTTCTCTTTCTCCGTCTTCTTAAGCTCCAGATACGAGATCTTCGTCATATTTTAATGTCATCGGCAAATTTATGACGCTCAAATATCGTTAAGACACGCACAACGTTGTAATGAAGTCTTGTAGGGATGAATACGTTTTTATAGCAGGTCGTTTCTTAGATCATGTTTGTCTGGCAAAGCCATTCATCGTAGGTTTTTACTTGGCTTGGTTTGGTTTATTTTCTTTTAAGGCATATCAACCTGAATGGGTTTAAATAAGATTTTTAGGATAGGTTTGGTTTGGTTTATTTTGTTTTACGACATAACTATTTTCCTATAGCTGGGACCCTAACAGGTGCTACCACCCCGGATCAGGGTGAACCAGGGACAACAGCAATTAAGAGGTGGCTCCATGCTCCTCAAAACCTCTCGATCAGAGGCCTTGATGTAGTATATCGTCATATCCAGAATCCAGTACATTTTGACTTTAATGTACTTTTTCTCTCTTCCAAAAAACATTGAATGTATTGTTTTGTAAAAGATCCCTTTTATGTTCATAGAATATTTTATATAAGTTTCTAGATTTCATCGCCAATGTAGAAATTTGAAATATTTTTTAAATTCTTTTATGTGCCGTGTTCCTTCAGAACGTTAGCGACCATAGCTCTCCACGTTTTCCTATGCTTTGTAGCTCTTAATAAATTTTATCTTTTCGTTATCTCTGCTAAACCTTGTTCCGCCATCCATTTACTCAGGCTCTCTAAGTAGGTTATACGTTGTCTCCCTCTGTCCATCTTGCCTTTGAAGGCAAAATGGACAGAGTGAGTATCAAGTTTTGCAAGTCCTCTTTCCTCATTATGTACCCTAGAAATTTCAACTGTGTCTTCCTAATGTTAAGTATAATGTTTCAGTTTTCTTTAAAATTTCTTCGTTGCTCACATATCCTCAACATCCTTCTGTAGAACCACAGTTCTGTTACTTCAGGTCTATTCGTCACCTGTGAGGAGATTACTAAGGGTTAATAGCTGCGCAGACTGTTCTCTCTAGCTATGTTTGGCAAACGGTGGAAGACAAAGAAAATCAAAATTATCCAGAACCGGATGGGCGTACTGCTAGCAACTACACCCACTAAAAGCGATTTTCTATGTAAACCACAGCAGCCGAACCTAACGGGTGGATCTATGCTCTTCTGGTGTATTTACAGTGTTTTCCTAATCAGAGAAATATTTCGAAACATTTGTGGCGTGTCGATAAAAACATTTGCAATGTTAGTAATAATAGCTGCTCTGCGTTCACCAATCCTAATTAAGAACGACTAAGTCATTCATTCTTTTGTAACGAGCAAATCGTCGATCAATATTTGTTGTGTTTTCGGGCCTTTAAAAATCCGTAGAAACTGCGAAAACAATGGAAAAATACAGCAACAATATATGAGAAATGCTGGTGCAACACTACAATCAGACTAGATCTCCATTTTTATTTTCTCGTTTTTATTTTACATCCACAGAAACTCTACAATTTTTTGCCTCTTCGTCTTCTTTTTCTTCTTGTAAACTTTGCTTTTGTTCTCTTTATCTTTTCCGTACCTCCCTCTCTATCATTTTCTATTGCCTCCTCCTCAAACATCCCTCCTCCTCCTCCTCCTCAAACACTCTTCCTACTCAAATACTCTTCCTCCTTATTCTTCTCCCTATATACTTTGCTTTCGTTTACTTTATAGCTTTCGTACATCCCTCCCTATTACTTTCTGTTGCCTCTTCCTCCTCCTCCTCTTCCTCCTCCTCCTCCTCCTTTCTCGTAAGCCTCTCTCTGTGTTCTTTACCCTTCTTGCATGTTTTGCATACGTTTCTGTCCTTTCTTCCATTTATCTCTCTCTATTTTCTTTTTTTTCTTGTATACTTTGCCTTCGTTTTCTTTACCTTTTTCTTATACCTATCACTTTCTATGACCTTCTCTTTCTTCTTCTCTTTCGTCTGTCTGTCTGTCTCTCTCTCTCTCTCTCTCTCTGCATCCTTTCTCCTTTTTGTTGCATACTTTGCCTTCGTTTTTTTCTCTCATATCTTCTTTGTACACTCTTCTCCTTTTTCTTTTGCTATTTATTTCATGCATCCCTCTTTTCCTCATCCAACTTAATTTCTTCTATCTATCTATCTATCTATCTATCTATCTATCTGCCACCACGTCTCCACTTTAAAAAAATCTTTTTTACACCAACAGAACATCACCCTATTGCTTTGTCTATTACACGCCACACTTTACCGCCCACCCGACACCGCTCTTAACATTTTTGGGGGTCTAATTCGTTTAGAAATGCCATCTTGACTGACTTTTGTCACATTACTTTCTGATCAATCTGGACTGAAACATGGCTTCTGTATTGCCTCACATATGTGCTTTCCGCCCTCGGCCTTTTATCTCGTCTTATTAACATTCTTTACACGCGTGCTGCAGCCATGATAAATATTTCGCTTTCATTCGATAAGTAAAACAAAGAAATACGAGTCCATATACATTCAACATTTTGCGATTTCTTCACTTCAAAAGTTCAAGAATAAAAACAAATTTCGTTCTCAAAAACCCGCTGCATTTAATACAGAAAGATTTTCCACTATTAAGCTGTTAAGAACAAAACGAAATATAAACAACAAAACAAAAATAAAGCCATACAAAAAATAACACCATACAAATCTATTGGAAACTGTCTTCAATTTGCTTCTACCATACTTATGTGTCTCTGCCTATGAAAGCTAGAAACTAATTTCGGAACGAGGTCATTTCTCTCCTGCTAAGAAATAACAGTGCAGAATCAAAAGGTGAGGTTTAAGCTGAAACAGCAGACAACGATGCATAGCGAGACGGTTATCGGCGTGAAAATTGGAATCAGCATGGCGAGTTCAAAATCCGAACGAATCGGTTTTGTTCCCACTTCGCACCGATGCCCTTGGCAAAGGCATGTGTTCATCTTCCTCCCGCTATGGTTTAAGGAACAGGGAAGTCTGAGCTTTCTTGCCTTGGCAGGGCAAACAGGAGAAAGAAAACTTTGAAAAATCACCACTGGTTGGCTGTTCCTGAAACAGAATACTTCCGCTGATTGGCGCTGGTACCATATGACAAACGTGATATTAACTCTGCTTCATTTACCAGTGCAATTTTAATATTGGGAAGGCGACGCAAAAAGGGCTGATGGACAAGTAAAGTTAACTACTGGACTCGTATATACGGTCCATTATTAAAGATGCAAGAAAAATGGTCGGTTTCCTGTACTGTTGCAGTAAGTACCTGATCCCATCTTGCTATCCTCTACCATTACAAGAGCCAGATCTGGCCTAAAATGGAGTACTGCTGTCATATTTGGACGGGAGCTGCCCAGTCCTCACTTTCTAATCTCGATAGAGTCTAAAAGCCTCTCCTCGTCAGTGTGGGTGACGCATCATTATTCACTCTCTTACCTTTCTCGCCCAGACGTGATATAGCATGCCTCTCACTGCTCTATCGATAGTTCCATGGAAAGTTCTCAGACGAACTACATTCACCAGTTCTGACCTTCACGGCTAGGATCCGCCATGCTACGCACATTCTAGTGAACCATCCATATTCCCTTCGTATTCCACTGGTGACGAATATGTTCCACTCGAACAGCTTCTTCCCGTAAAACACTGCTCTGTGGAATTGACTCCCAAGTGGATGTGTCCACTATCACCAAAATCTTAACTCGTTCAAGTTTAGGGTAAACTGTTATCTTCCCCTCTTATCCGCATAAAATGTGCCTTTGTAACTCTCTACGACGGGTGATTCCTGAGCCTTGTACAGGGTGAACATTGTAAAAAAAATTTGTAACCTAGGGAAGGTTACTGAATAGAATAATAACACGAAGGTTGTTAATGAACAAACAACACATAAGATTCGCCAGCGGCGCGTAGAAGTAGTAGTCAACTGCTAGGAGTGGGGTATCCGAGTCCCTAGGCTCGGCCAAAAATTCCCCGTATAAAACGGGGATCATAGTCTCGTCTCGGGAAGCAGCTGCCCGACACAGCCCCGTCTAGGGATCCTCCCAGCAAGGAGGCAGAGAGCCCGACCAGCATAGTTGGAGACGAATCTCCAACTGCAGGATATTTATTGTATATAAAATACAATTGTGGCACAGGGCCAAAATGGGGAGGGCTTGAGGCTGATCATCACTAACTATCTTGTAACTAGCTAATCTGATTCACGACCCATTCACACATTACAGTTTACACATTCACCATAAGAATTCGTCCATCGCCAAACATCCTCCATCCACCATAATACCGCATCCTCTCAAGGGGAAACCTACAAAACGCGCCCCCCCATGCCTTAAAAATTTAATGATAATAAATATATATATATATAAAATTCTAATAATGAAGAATGAAAGGGGAGGGAGATGAACCCAATAATAAAACTAAAACTCAACATAAAGTAAACCACGTTTCGCTAAAGACTGTCGAATGCAAGCGTTTTCTATCAGTTCTAATCTACATCTTGAGCTGATGCTCAAAGAATCGGATTAGATCCTGATGAGAAAGACGATTGCCTCGCAAGACTTCCTCTGTTCGCGTCATCTAAATCATCATTTGGGCCGTGGCCAGCAGCGTCAGAAACACCATCCGTTTCACCCCAGAATACGGGGGCGACACATTGTCACACGCGTAGCGAGACGAGCCGTCAACTCGCCGGCATGGTTCCATAAGGGGCGGACCCGGGGACAATGGTAGAAGGCGTGCGAAGCCGTTTGTTCCAGACCAAGGCCACACCGTTCACAGTCTGGCAAATCCGCCAAGCCCCATATGAAGACCTTGTCATTGAGAGGCAGCCGATTCTGAAATACTATGTAATATCTAATCTTCTATATGGCAGTGAACGCTGGACAATCTCCTCATGCCTTTCAGAAAGTAAGTCAAGTATTAAGATATAGAAAAATGTCGTTAGAAACAAAGAAAAGAGAACCGAACTATATAATATCTAGTATTTAATGTGACAATGATTTTTGGACAAGAGAGTCTTCACAGATGATGAAGAGACTTGAAGTGATCGCGATATTTTTCTACCTATGAATAGTGTGAATACTACAGATAGAACACGTGACCAATGAGAAAGTTTGAGGGGGTATATGAATTAAAGAATATTTTATTTACAATAAAAGAGTGTTGATATATATGGGATATATAATGTGGAAAGTGTGCCTGGATAATCAAACAATCACAAGATATAGTGAAGAGAAAGAAGCAGAAGTAACAAGGAGTAACCTATTTAACAAAGTTATGAATATATGGCAGAACGAGGCAAAGATGGAGGATGAAATATTAAATTTAATTAAAGCAGAAAAAGCATTAAAGAAGATGCGGAGAGCCATGAACGCCCACATCCTGAAGGAATATAGTACATTGAAGAATAACGATATCCAATAACCGCATATCTGAAATGATCTTCTGTCAGTCTAAGCTAAGCGTATTAAATAATCATAAACATGTAAGGCCCGCTCTTTTTAAATTACAACAATTTTAATAAGCACACAAAGCATACTACAATGAATACAAATGTCTCAATAGGTTCGCCTGTGGCCCAGTTCACACTCCTCCCTCGTCTTTTGAATAGATGTAGAGGTGGGGCTAACTAATCTCTGTTGCAAAAATGTAACTTATATTGCTGCTATGCTAAACAAGTCTTATAATCATTGTGAATCAGCGTATAATGCTGCGTGATCTGCAGTTGAATAAAGGCAGAAAACTCGGTTAAATAATGGTTTCCAGACACTTCCTAACGATGCCACACGCTGGAATAGTCTCCCTATACAAATATTATTAAGAAACCTAATCCTTAGGAGTTAGGTGGCCAGATTTAATGGGTGGTGTAGTTGCAGAAATTGTCTGATAGTCATGACTGGGTTCTCTTGCTTGTGTAGCAGACATAGAGTCTTCCAGTAGCCACCCTCTTGACCCAAGGCACACTACCTCCTCAAGGCACTCCGTGTTGAGTCTAAGGCTCTGTGGAAGATAAATGAAGGCATAACGTCGCCACCACTAGTGATCACTCAAAACACTTTCGTAATCACCATTAAACTCATCCAACTATTTCTGAATCATCTGCACTGTCTTCAAATTGATACCCAAACACTCTGAAATGTTAATATTGGAGCTTCTGGCGCGAACGCCAAGCAGTAATGATCCTAGTATACTGTACAGTCGATAAAATCAAAAACAAACGACGCGCATGCGCGAAATTAAAAATATAAAATGGCGACAATTTATCCATCGCACCCTTTATATAACAACATATATTGTTATAGACAATATTCGGCCTCGTTTGAGACAATATATATAACTACTCATCCTCCTTATAAACAATATATATAAATACCCAGCCCCGTTATAGCTAATATAAATATTCAACCTTGTTATGAATAATATATATAACTATTCAGCCTTCTTATAGACACTATGTATAATTCCTCGGGGTTAGGTTTATTTTGTTTCACAGCATATCAACGCCTCAATGGGTTATTTAATGCCAACAAGATTTTTAGGATAGGTTCGAATCAGTAGAATATGTATTCTTTTTAAGAAATCAGTTTGTAGATCAGGTTTCATTGACGTATTTTTGTTAAGATGTTTTTTTTTGTTGTTGTTGTTTTTTTTCTTTTGTTTTTTTTTTTTTTTTGTCGAGAGTCAAATGTATTGCTGGTAATTTTTTTTCAAAATAGACAAAATTCAATTAAAAGCAAATTCAAAATATGAACCACAGCTCATATTTTATAATACTAGGTATCGGAGCCATTTCGATAGGTTATAATATAATTGTCTTCTTTTGTCGGGAATTGTGGGGTGAAGAGTTTGATTTATATCTTTCCCAAAGGTATTGGCGCGTAAGTGAATATAACAACCCTGACTGAATTTGGAACTCTGCTCTCCAATTTCCTATTCCGAGCCGTTATCCATTACACCACCTGCACATCCATGCTTTCAGCATCTGGTATTACCAAGCAGCCACCTACCTAGGTATGGGCCAGGCTCGACGTTGCTTAACTTCGGTGATCGTACGATATGTCCACAAGCCTCTAATAGACAATGAATAGCACTGGGAAATAGAATATATAAAGGAAACTACATAAATCATTTTAATCTCATTTCCCTTCAGGACATAGACGATCATGGCTCTCCTTCGCTTCCTTTTCTTCATAAGCTGCTTGTTACCATGACTTCTTGGGCAAGATAATGAAATGATATTCCGATGTCTTCTCCACGAGAATGTTTTGGAGCGGTTGGCATTCTAAGTGAAGACTGGGGGTGGGGGAGTGGTAATTTCATGCCTTGCCTATGTGTATTATTGCGAATATTAACATCACAGACTGTTCTCAAATAATTCGACCAAGCAGCTAAACCTGGAGATCGACAGCAAATGTAAGTCAGTAATTAACAAGAACTACGAAGTTGAGGTTTAAAATATAACACAGAAATCAGGAGTGCTGATGAATTTCACTGAATGAATTTTTTACACATTTGCTGCCTAAGCTCAAGGATAAACAGCTCCCGGAACTCTGTCGGAAGGTTAGAAGTGGAGTGCGTATGGGAAGGGAAGTTGTTGGACAAGGTAACAAAGTTTGACATTCCAAAATGCGACTCACGTCCGTGGAAGGCCAGAGAGTACATTGATCAAAAAGGAAAACAAAAAAGAAAAGGAAATAAAGACGAGGAAATTAGACTGAGTCAAAATAGAAGAACCAAAATCATTGTGGAAAAATATATTTGAAAAAAAGAAAAGAAAAAGAATTGGTGAGTAATTTTTGTACATCCTGCTTGTTCTCGTTTATCAACATGTAAATCTATTGCATTCACTTACGTGCTAATACCCATGCGAAAGGTATGAACCCTCTTCTTCTCCCCCTATTATATGGGTAAAATAACAGGACAGACCAGGTTCTATAGCCTTGGATGCCAACTGGTTTACCGCAGAAAGAAATGGCAACCTACTGCGGGAACAAAATCTGCCTCGTCAGTCATGTATCGAAAGATTCGTGATCGCCTAAGCGTGTATCATGCATGGCACATAACTGACTATGGGAATTGATATTCTGTGGTATTCTGACGACCTTGGTTCCTCGTCAGAAAGAAGAAAAAGAAATTCACTTGGGAGAAGAAATGGAGAATCGATGAAAGAAATAATTAAAAAACGGAGGAAAAATTAACTTAAGAAGAAAAATTGACTTGAAAGAGTAAATGAGGGAAGAAGAAGAAGAAGAAGAAGAAAAGGGGTAGAGGTGAGAGCGGGAGATGCAAGAAGAAGAAGAAGAAGAAGAAGAAATTGACTTGTAAGAGGAATAGAGGGTAGAAGAAATAAAGAAGAAAAAGAGGAAAAAAGAAGAAAATTGACTTGAAAGAGAAAAAGAGGGAAGAAGAAGAAGAAGAAGAAGAAGAAGAAGAAGAAGAAGAAGAAGAAGAAGAAGAAAAGGGGTAGAGGTGAGAGCGGGAGATGCAAGAAGAAGAAGAAGAAGAAGAAGAAGAAATTGACTTGTAAGAGGAATAGAGGGTAGAAGAAATAAAAAGAAAAAAGAGAAAAAAGAAGAAAATTGACTTGAAAGAGAAAAAGGGGGAAGAAGAAGAAGAAGAAGAAGAAGAAGAAGAAGAAGAAGTAAAGGGATAGAGGTGAGAGCGGGAGATGCAAGAAGAAGAAGAAGAAGAAGAAATTGACTTGTAAGAGGAATAGAGGGTAGAAGAAATAAAGAAGAAAAAGAGGAAAAAAGAAGAAAATTGACTTGAAAAAGAAAAAGAGGGAAGAAGAAGAAGAAGAAGAAGAAGAAGAAGAAATTAACTTTAAAGAGAAATAGATAAGAAGCAGAAGAAATTAACTTGTAAGAGGAAAAAAGGGTAGAAAAATGAAGAAGAAAAAAAAGAAACTGGCTTGTAAGAGGAAAAGTGGGTAGAGGAAATGAAGAAGAAAAAGAAGAAAAAAGAAGAAAAAAGAAGAAGAAAAATTGACTTGAAAGAGGAAAAAAGGGAAGAAGAAGAATTTTACTTGAAAGAAGAAGAAGAATTAAAAGCTAGAAAAGGATGCGCATAAAGGGGAAAATCTTATGAAGAAGATTTGTATACAAGAAAAGCAATGTAAGAAAAAGAAGGTCCAAAGAAAAGGAAGAGAGGGTTATACGAAAGAAATGAAGACAATTAAGAAGCCGTAACATGATGAAACCTCCTGAAGTTTACCTCCTATTCTGCAAACTGTGTTTTAAATGATTTTTTTTTTAAATGTTAATTGACTGAGACAGTCACTTTGTGGTAATATTACTCTCGACTCTTGACCTTTTAATCTTTTAAACAAAATATAAAGCTGAACTGAAATACGGTGTGGTTTGAACGTATTTTTCAAGGAAGTTGTTCCTATTGGTCAAAGGCCTTAGATTCCTCCAGCATTCGTTCTCTGTTTGGCCAATTTATTAGTCAAGGTTTGTTTTACCGTGTATCATTCTTGATTCCGTCATTGCTCAAATGATAAAATGAATTATATCGAACACTGCTTTCAAATCTTCTTTGTCTTATTAGTCAATTTTCCTACTAATTTATATCTATTTTTTTCCACTTCCAAGGAAATTTCACTTACATAATTTTAGTTTACAACTTTCGCCGCATTAGCGGCATTTAGTATTTTATTGTGACTTGCTTTTTTCTGGGTTGGGTTCGTTACTTTTTACGACATGTTAACCTTTCTTGTTTGATTTAATGTCGAAATCAATCATTTTATTTGTGTCTATAATGATTTACTTGGATCGTGGAGAGATAAATATTTCTTGTTTATATCTGAGGCTAGAAAACTTAACTCGGTTTGGGGATAGGTAAATATTGGTCATTTGAGTCTATGACCGTTTATTTGGCTGGGGGATAGGAAAGAAATTCATCGCTATTACTTGACACTTGTATTTACTTGGTTTCGAGACAGGTTAAAACTAGGCTCCTCCGCTTTTGCGCGGGAAAACAGATAACGTCATGAAAAGGCCACAAACTTAACGAAAATAAATTCTTATCGTCAAAATGTTTATGTTATTATTAAGATGAAAGACCAAAGTATTTGTTAATTATTTTGGAAATTTTTTAATCCTTTCTAACACGTTCAAAATTTTGGTTAAAGTCTTCTTTTTTTACGTCATCGCAGTAACAGAAAATAACATTTTTGCGCTTTTTTTTTTCCTTTGAAAACACATTGATTTGGAAATGCTTGTAAAAATCAAGTAATTGTCCGATTTTAATGAAATCTTCAGGACTTATTCACAAATGAATGAAATTATTTTTTAAATGTGTTTTTTCGTAATTTTTTTTTTTAAATATGTTAAACCACACACACACTTACTTAATTTCCTGATGGTGGTTTATATCGGCGATTGGACCGCCAACAGATTGTTTTAGTGGTGTGCTGTCTTTGAGACATGAAAGTCCATAAGTAAGAATTTGCAAACTAAGATTATTTCACATCATTTTCACATTGGAAGCTAAACGATTCTCTGGTCAAAGTGCCCCACCCCTATAATTAAATACATTTTGGCTATTAATATTTTAATACTTATTGTAACGTGTGTAATCATAAGTACTCTGGCTATTATTACTTTATATTAACTGCAAAGACCTAAATTCCCACTGGCTATAATAGCCGGTATACTCTTTACTCTTACATGTGTAATCCGTTCACCTTTTTATATTAAGTAAACATTGTTGCCGATAGCGTTAAATTGTATCCCTGTTTCTTTTAACATAAAATCTACTGGCATGAACTTACGCGCAAATAATCTTGGGAAAGGTATGAATCTATATTTTCTCCCTCAAATATGGGTTAAACAGTAGAAGGTGTATCTAGAAAAATCAAAGAATTATTAATGAGATATTTACTCGCAAAGAAAAAACATTATGCTTAAAATCCAATATATATATATATATATATATATATATATATATATATATATATATTGTCATCCGCAGACACACTGTTTCGCCATGCCAAAGCTCATCAGTGTAGCTAGACATGTAGCTAGACATCCAATTGCCGCAAGCCAGTATCGTAACCTGATTGATTTGGCATCAGTCGGAGATTTTTTTCCCCTAAGCTATCAGCTCCCGGCAGAGAGGAAGGTGAATTTTTACTTATTTATTTTTGAATAAACACACCAGTGAATCAGAGTGCTCGATTCATAGAAGAGCTTTGCATTATCAGCAGTAGCAGTTACTGTTTACAAATTCGCGCTTTCCCTCTAAAATGCTCGATCGAATTTTACTTTTTCTGGGGCGTATATATATATATCTCACCCTCTAAAAGACACAGGGGACACTCGAGGTACAGAGTTACGTTAAGAGGCATTTTCTGCGGAAAGGAGGGGAAGATAACGGTTGTAGTGATCGGGGAAACATGTTCTTGGGAGTCGGTTCCACAGAATAATGTTTCGCAGGAAGAATCTGTTCGAGTGGAACTTACTTCCCAACAACGGAATACGGAGGGAATGTGGGAGATTTGATACTATGTAAGTGACATGACATGTTCTTGTCGTGAAGGTTAGCCTTGACGGGACCAGGAAATGAAGTTCGTTCAAGCACTTACCGCAGAAGTAGTTGTAGAGCAGCGAGAGGCTTGCCACATCCCGCCTGTGGGAGAAAGGTTGAAGGATGGAGAATAGTTTGTCACCCAAGAGAGATAGGGGACGCTTTTTAGCAAAATAAAAAAGAAGTTAATCAGCTACTGTTACGATTCTTTGCTTATTAAAGTTTCATTCTTCTAATTCCTGTATTTTCATTCATCTCTTGTCTAGTTTAGGAAAAGCGAAATATATATTGGAAATGAGAATTCTAGAAACCTTGAGCCTAGTGTGTAAGCATCTGAATAGAAAGTTCATTTTCAAAATATGGACGGATACAAAGTGCAGTCCAGAAGGTTTAAGACTTCCCATTCCAGCGACTACGTCTAGGGATATCTCGTCTAGTTCTTATTTTATTACTACTTATTTGTTGCTCTCCCCGTTTCTTCCGGATCCAAATACACACTGCCCGGCCCAGGGATTGAACTCACAACTACTAGGTCAGCAAATTCACGAACCAACATTTCAATACATTACACTATTGTCCCTAGATTTAAATTGTTGTTATAAAAAAAAACATATAAAACCACCACCGACATTATCTCTATTATGTTTTCATGTTTATAATTAGTAATGTGTTTATTTAACGGCATATCAACTCCTTGTGGGTCATTAAATGCCGAAATTTTGGTAATTTTTTTCCAAATATATATGGCTGGTATTATTTTTTTTTTTTTTTACGGAAGTATATAACTAGTAACATTTTTTTTTTATTCTGAAAACGTATTGCTGGTATTTTTACTATAAAAATGTATTTTTCATATACTTTCATAGTGTTCCAATATTTCTTTGGTGGGTAACTATTTGCCCATAGCTGAACCCTAACAGATGCTACCACCCCGGGCGAGGGTAGACATGGGAACAACAGCAATTAAGAGGTGATTCCACGCTCCTCAAAACCTCTCGGTCGAAGGCCTTGCTGCTGGATGTCGTTTATCTTCATACCCAGGACAAAGTCCCGCCTTCTGTCTTTGATCTCCGACCTATATAAGAACGGAACAACCCCCCCCCCCACACACACACACCGAGGACTCACAGGAGCGCACATATTGGAGCGCACACGCAGGAACACACACGCCCACACAGAAGAACACACACAGAAGTTCACAGGATACATTTAGAGACCTTGCTGCCGGCTGTAGTTTATCGTTATACCCAGGACGCTCCTGGTATGACTTTTAAAGTTTTACCAATACAAAATAGCAGTTATTACAAAATATCTTACCAACCGTTTAAATTAATTTATTCCTCTACAACAATTTTCTAGAGAGAATTATTGATTATTAAGTGCTTAGCTCCGTCAAGATATCTTTAAAAACAATAGTTTTCCTAATGATATTATGATGATAGAATTATTTTTACGAATAACAAATTGCGACATACATATTTATTTATATACCGCATTTAATCCATAACAAAAAATACTATGTCTGTCTGAATTTCTGAGATGAGGAATTATCATTATTAACACTATTGTTTTTTTCATTTCTGTTGCTATTAGCCCCAATTTTCGGCCGCTGTGCCCTCCGGCCTTCATCAAGTTTATATCGACCCGGGGAATGTACAGGGAATTCCGGACTGAACCTCGGATATCTCGTCTAGTTCAAATTCACCAACCAACATTTTAATCCAGTGGATCATAGTCTAGTGGATAGCGTTGGTTCGTGGATTTGGTTCCATAGTTGTTGTAAGATCAATTCATGGGCTGGTCATTGTGTACTTGGACTCAGTGGAAACGGGCGAGCAATAACTAAACAGTACTAAAAAAAATAATAACTATACGATATCCCAAGATATGGGAGAGCAGTGGAGAGAGAACAGATTAAATTAAATTCAGGGTTTAGTTCAAAAGTTCGTCTCGGTTACCCAAATCGATATACATCTGATGCCCGGCGACACAACGGCCAAAATGTTAGGATAACAGCAACAATGATGAGGACAATACTCGGGTCAGGGTGGACTTGAGAACAACAGCAACTAAAGTGCCACTCTCCGGGTCAGAGGCATTAATGTTGGATGTAGTTTATCGTCATACTCAGGACAGTGCATGTAAATAGTGTAAATAATGATAACTCCTCATCCCAGAAATTCTGAAAGATGGCGATCAGATGATAACAACAATGTCTGCATTGTAAATAGCGAAAATGATGATAATTCCTCATCCCAAAAAATCAGACAAAAATAGTATTTTTTTTTTTTTTTGATTAAATCGAGTTTATTATGTAAGTAGCTTTGTTAAGACTGTGGCCGTCAATTATGAATCTTGGTAAGACTTTTAATTCTCTCAGTATCGCCGTTCTGTATAGATTGAATAAGTCTGGCGAGAAGGCATATCCTTGTCTTAAAACTCTTTCTATTTTTTGTATATTTACTGGATTCATTTTGTATTCGTATGCAGGCGGTTTGCTGGCAGTACATGTTCTGGATTATTTTCATATCCATATGTTAATGTTACCTAGTGCTTTCACCATTTCTTTGTTGCGTACTTTTTAACAGAAAAAAATACAGCAAAAGACTCTTATTTTCTCTGCGACCAAGGTAAGCGTTAATAGAATGGCAGATCTAGCTTT